TAGATTTTTGTCTTTTTATGGAAGTACCTTATATTGTTGTGAATATTTTAAAATCAGATGCATTTTTAGGTTCAATGTTCAATATTTTTAATTTCAGATAAGTTTTTGATAATTTGAAATTATTTTCAGAAAATTTTTTGTAAATGTCACCATTTAACAAAGGCTTCGATTGGCATTTTTATGAATTAATTAAAACGCAAATATCTTTTTTTTGCAATCTTGTGGTCCATCTAAAGTGAAGAAAAATAAAAAGCAACAATGACAATTAAAAAAAATGGCGCTATCAACAATAAATTATTTGTCCGTAGTAACTGTATGCAACTTTTTTAAATATGAAGGAGATTTTGAAGTATCGGTAATTATATATGAAATAAAAGATCTATAAATAATTTATTTGAGCATGTCAAAATAATTTATGAGCATTTATTTTGGTATATTAATTTCCTTATATGAAAATTACCTATTTTGGCAGGATTCGTTAAAAGTGAAAAACTCGCAATTTTAAATTTAAGGTTAAACGAAAAAATATAATAAAAATTGACAGTTTATTATTTTGCTGACTTTTAAACACTCTTTCCTTCATGCATATAGCGTAGTTTGAAAAAACACGAAAATCCAGAAACTTTATAAAAGCAATGTCAAAACAAAAAACGGGCGCGTATGAGGTTACCTACTAATAGCTATTTTTATTTTGTTTTTACCTAAAATAAATTTGATTTAAACAGTTTCAAATACAAGGGCCGCCGAAAAGCTTTTATGACTACCGTAACATAGCAACAACTAGGTGCCCCTATTAGCATGCGTTTTTCTAAGAAAATTAAATTAAAAACAATTAAAGTTATACAAATTAATGAACCGTGTTTTTAATTCTAATACTATTATTTTACATCTATATTTTCATGAAACACGTCTCGATTAAATAACACTTACACAACACATTTAACTTTCACTGATTAGAATTAATTGACACATTCCTTGAAATTATTACTAAAAATACTATTTTCTTGTTTGTTTGTTTTTTTATTAAAAATAAGTAATAATTATAATAATTAATGTCTTCTTACGACAAAAATGTAAACAATTCATTTTTATCGCAAGTGTTCGACAGTCGGTCTTGTTCTATAATGATCCTTCATTTTTTTTTTTAAACAATTTTAATTTACTTAAAGGTTGTTCCAGTGCCGGATCAAGGGGTGGGCTAGGGTGGACTATAGCCCCGGGCCCCGCAAATTTAGGGGCCCCAAAAAATTTTAGAGGACTTTTTATTTTTTTTGTATAGTCATTTTTAGGCTCTGGCCCATAAAAAGGCCTCCAAAAACAAAAATAGCCCCGGGCCCAAAAAACTCTTAATCCACCACTGGGTTGTTTGCATTCTGTGACATACTGGCATTATGTTAAAAATTTGAATTAATATATATATATAAATTGAAAAATAGACTATAGACACTTTGAGTACATTTGGCTGAGAAAACTTAAAGTGCTCCAAGAATTAAAAAATTGTTAGAATGCAAAATATCTTCCGTAAAGTTATCTTCTATTTCACAAGCTTTTATTTTTACCGTTTTTTGATTTTTCAACTAGATGAATGAGAATATTATAGAAATAATTTTCACATTGATATTTCTAGGCTGAATTTGTTGAATGAAATGATGAAGCGCAACGTTGAAGATATTCACTTCTAGCTGATAAACATACTAAAAAAAAACGATAAAAATAGCTGATAAACATACTAAAAAAAAGTGCTTCAACTACATTCTGCACTAATTTCGTCGCTGCAAAGCAAAACTATCTTAAGTCCATTTTCGGCAAAAGTCATCTCACAAAGTATTGAGCCAAAATTTAATTAATTTTGGCTCAATACTTTTAAAACTATGATTAAAATTCAAATATATTTGTTCAAAAAAAAAGAAGATATGTCGTTGCTGAAAAACAAAACTATCTTAAGTCAATTTTTTAGCAAAAAAATTTTTTCGGATTAAAATGCTTAAAATAAATAACTGAAAACTTGTTTTTAGTTATTTATTATAAGCATTTTAAACCGAAATATTTTTTAGCAAAAAAAAATTTTTCGGTTTAAAATGCTTATAATAAATAACTGAAAGCAAGCAGATTTAATCGAAAAATCAAAAGCAAGTGATTAAATTTAAAACTTTAAATATCTTTTTCTTAGAACAGCCAAAACGGACTTAAGATGATCATATTATATATAGTTTTAAAACTATATAGAATAAAATCATCTTTTTACTACTTTTTAAAGGGTAAGGGAAATAGCAAAATTAGGGATGTTCATCGTAAAATGCTAGCGACACCCTGTTGTACTTGTAAAATATATAACTAAACCTATTGCAAAGAATGAGCAATTTTTGATGAAACGCACCAACGCCATCCCATAAAGCTGTGGTAAATATATGGCTAACATGTGCTTCCCACATGTGGGCCACATAAAACTTTAATGAAAATTAAAGTTTTATGTGGCCCACAGAACGAACGCCACGCACAAATGAAGCGTGGCGTTCGTTCTTATTTAGTGTGGTTTTAGTGGGATAAACATTATAGCCACATATGGGACGCATCAACGCCATCCCATAAAGAAGAGTGGTAAGCATATGGTTAGCATGCAAATGCCATATATGCCCCACATTAAAATTTTTTGTCGGGTATACTATCAAAGTAAGTCGATAAATTTGTTTTTTTTGTTTTTTTGTTTTTTTTAATTCAAAATCGCGATTTTATCTATTTTTAGTACTTATCAAAAAAGTGTTTATGAAATATAGTTATAAAGTTTATCTACAATCTATAAGTTATAAAAAAAAGTGTTTATGAAATACTTATTTTTCTGGAATAATCTGATCAAATTTATCCTTAAAAAAATGATGTTTTGTTCGGATAAGATCTAGTGACTACTTTAATGTCGTCAATATAAAAAGCAAGTTAACATTTTTTTCTTTGGTTGGTCCCCATGAACCAAAAAAAGAAGATACTTTATTTATAGTTTTATTTCTTTGGTAATATAAATATAGCAACTTAATTGCTTTGCACATTACCTAGTAAATTTATTTTATACCTAGGGTAAGTTGGTAAATTTCGGACAGTTAGGTGAACGTTTGCCGAAAACATCATGGAATCTAAATAAAAGATACGGATGTCATTTTGGGCAGCCAATTATTTTATCTACAAAATAGTAATAATTTGGAAACAAATAATACTATATTTCTTTTATTTATTTGTTTTCAATTCGATTTTTTTAGACAAAATTTCCACGAAATTTCGTGTAAGTTGATTGATTCTACGAAATTTTGCGTAAGTTGATTGACTCCACTTCGTGTAAGTTGATGAACTCCAGTTTTTTTTTTTCTAAATTTATTTTCTCTCACTTTTTTTCTTTCTTCATTTTGTTTCTCCTCTTTTTTTGATCATTTTGTTGAGTTTAAACATTTTTGGTATCAAATTTTTGAGAACAAGATGGATTTGTGGAATATTTATAATTTTTAGCAATATCTGAATACTGTTTATAGGAATGTCCATTTTCAGTAAAAAGTCGGCGTTAAAACAGTCTTCCGTTTTGGTAATCCCTTAATCAACACACTTTGCCGTAACAAGTCTAAACTGCCCCCGAATAGTCATCCAGGAGTGTACCAACTTAATTGCACATGTGGTGCATATTATATTGGTGAAACAAAAAAAAAAGATTTCCACACAAATTCAAGAACATAAAAGTAATGCTACAAAAGCCAACTGGGGAAACATCAGGAATAGTAGAACACTCACAACATTGTAATGGCAAAATAAACTAAGAGAACCCTAAAACGCTTTCTATTATTTCAAACAACTACACCAGAAAAATTTGTAAGGCTATTGAAATACAACGTCAACAATGTTTAAAACCTAAAGAAAACGTTTTAAATCGCGACAATGGCAACTTGGTGATGACTCACCGTTGGAAACCATTTTTTGTAAAATTAAAAAATGTTGAAATCTGACGTTGCAATGACTTTATTTGTTTACGTTTATTATAATTTTTTAGGCGGTTTTTTTAACGGTTTTATTAGTTTGATAATGGCTCTTACTATATGAGCCGAAATATTACTTATGGAGAAAAGAAATAAATAGTATGATACCGTATATGTTAATGCTTATATATATATATATATATATATATATATATATATATATATATATATATATATATATATATATATATATATATATATATATATATATATATATATATATATATATATATATATATATATATATATATATATATATATATATTATAATTATAAATATAACATAAACTAAGACAGTGTAAGACTAATATTCTAAAAAATGAACAAAAAAAGTTTCATTATTGCTTGCTTGCTCACAAATCATTATATCTGAAAATTAACACCCTACTTTAATAGATAACCTGGATCCACCAAATCAAAAAATCACCCCCCACCTCTCCTTCCTCCTTAGATGGTGTGGATCCATTAAATAAAAAAGGATTGTAACTTTACAATGTACGTTTAGCATTGTGGTATCTCATTAGATTATATTCCACAGTGATCCAAAATCAAGTCCTTCACTAAGAAAAATGTTTTTAAATATTTTTAAACTATTTTTTATTGAAAGTTATTATTATTGTTATATATTGAAAGTTACATTGATTTTTATTATTTACGTACATCCACTGATTTAGGGATAGGCAAAGTGGAGCACATATATATCGACTGATTTAGGAATAGGTGCAGTGGAGCGCACATATATCGATTAAGGGTTTTGGTTTGGGCATGCATTCTATAAATAAAAGAAAAAATTCAAACAATCAGAAACCACTACCGCGACTTTTAGAAAAAATTAAGGCGAGCAACAGCGTAAAAAATAATGATCGTATTAAATAATGTAAACCAGCCTTAGATTTTGGTCAAAAACAACAAAGCACGTGGTTATCATTTGAATTAAGTAATATAAAAAATATTATTTTCTACTTTACAATATTAAGTTTTTTTTTTTTGCATAATTATTACTCTGTAATAGTTTCTTATTTAAAATAGTATTACTATTTAAATTTTTTTTATAATTATTTAATTAAATGAAGCATAAATTGATACGTTATGCAACTAAGACTACGTAAATAAAACAAAAATTTAGGTAAAATAAATTATATTACCTTATATTACCTAATTATATTATAGTACTATTATATTACTATAATATTTAGGTAATATAATACTATTATATATATATATATATATATATATATATATATATATATATATATATATATATATATATATATATATATATTTTTTAATACTATTATATCTATATTATAATATAATAGTGCACTATTATTAATAATATTGATAACAGTGCCCTATTATATTAATATATACAGGAACATGGTCACCAGTGATCTAGTTTTTGTTTATGTTTTGTTTATGTGTATTTGTTTAGTTTATTTGTATACATCGTGTGTGTGTTTGTGTGTGTATGTCTGTTTATATCTCTGTGTGTAAATCTATATATATTGACATTTGAAAGTGACATTTGAAAGTGATATATGTAATATACGTTTTTTTTAGTCATGGGTAAATCAATTTTTACAAAATGTTCTCCAAACAGTTCTACAACTAGTTATTTGACCGAATTACCTACTTCTACTTATAAGCAGATAGAAAATAATAGTAATACATTCAAAGTTCTTTCAAAATATAAAATTGTTGCTTTGCTATCAATAAAAATTTTTATTTCCTATGGTGCTTTTGCTTTAATAGCTCCTTTTTTTACAATGGTGGTAAGTCTATATTTTTCGAAAATATTTTTATATGCATTTTTAAATACATAGTTGAAGATGTATTTTTTTGAGTTATGTGTAGTTTATATAATAGATATTTAAGAATTTATTTTTTTATATTGACAGTTTATTTTTTATATTGACAATTATGATAGTTTATGACTTCTTTTTTATCATAAACTGTCATAATTTATAGGGTTATGTCATAACATGTCCCATAATTTTAAAAGATTTTTAAAATAAATATTAATTTTATAGAATAATAGATTTATCGTAATGTTATTTATGTGTGTACATAGAAATGTTATTATTAGAATGTTATCTGTATGTATCTATCCTCTTTATCTATCCTCTATATTGAATATGTAATTATCAATAATTATCAATAGCTGTCAAAGTTATTGTTTTAGATCAGTCTAGAAAAAAATTATTTTGTTAAAGTATAGTTTAACTGTTTGTTCATATCATGTTTGTTCATATCATAACATGTTTGTTCATATAAAATATCTAAGAGAAAAACAAAATATAATAAATTGTGGTAGTCTAAGTTTAACTGGATCCAAGTTTGTCCTGGTGATCAGTATTTTGGAAGTTGCAAATTATGCCAAAAAACCTTTTCTGTCAGTGAAAGTGGAGCTGGACAAGCAAGAAGCCATGGAATTAGCAAACTTCACATGTCAAGATTTAAAAAAGAAGAAGGACAATCAGAATTTAGTTAATTTAGTAACGAATATTCCTCTGTAGGAAGATCGGACTATCAACAAATAGAAGATATTTTTACATTTTATTCAAAGACACTCAGAAAAATATGTTCTCAGATTTTACAACAATACAAAAATCTTTGTGAATATTTTATAATGCAAAATTAAATATCAATGCTTTATATTTTTTTTATTGGTTTCATATCAAATGACTTTAACATATTTGTAAAAACATTTCAATTAATTAAACCAAGAATTAGACTGGTTTGGTATAAAATGTCAAAAATTCTTTTTGCACTAATATCCAAGTTTATCAAAACTAAGCTTGTTTTGTTAATAATAATGGCAGCAATTCCATAAAATCTGTTAATGAGTTCCTGATAATTGATGTGATTGACTCAAAAACCTTTAAACCATTAAAGTTGATTGATATTGGCACAAAAGCCCGGTCTTTAATCTCTAGAAATGTGGCGTGAAGAAATTTCAACATAATTGTCAAAATTTCTTCTCGCCACATGAGGCAAAAAGAAACATGTTTTGGAAAATGAAAAACTAGCTATTCTTACATCATTCTTACATCCAAATTATACTACACTTCATAAAATTTGTTTTACTGATGTGATTAGTATTCAATTTTGATTTTTTTTATTAATACATAAAGTAAAAGTTTGTTTTGCATATAAAAGAGGTCTATCACTTGCTGACAATTTAGTTTTTGAAGGAAATAGTGATTTGAAGAAGTGTTTTGCTTCAAAAAAATAGCTTAAGGGTTTGAAAAATTCTTGAGCTTCTTATTCAGAATTAAAAATGACATAATTACTATTTTTTGATGTTTTTAATTTGTGTTTTTTTTATTTATGCTATTTTTAATTCTGAATATGAAGCTCAAAATTTTTTCAAACACCTCAATAAACGACATAAAAATTTGAAATTTACTATGAAAAAAGAACAAGATAACTAGATTGCCTTTTTAGATGTACTTATTAAATAATCCTATTTGTTTTCGACTTCAGTTTATCACAAAATAACGTATACAGGTTTTTTTCAAAATTTTTTTAGTTTTATTCCCTCTTGCTACAAATTTGCATTTATCCATCAGGATAAATGCCAATAACAACAAAAAATTTGTTAGAAAATGAGAAAGAGAAAGTTATCATCACAAATAATGACTTCTCTGTTACTGCAATATAACTTTATTCAGGTATCAACAATGAAACGATGAAATAAAGTGAGTTTTTACTGTTTAGAGAGTGGATGAAATGACATCCTCGTTTTACATGAAATTATCTAATACAGAATAGTTTCATGTAAAAGAAATGCACTAGTGGTGTAGAGGTAGAGTGCATGCTTCTTAAGTAAGAAGTTTTTAGTTTGATCCCCACATGTACATGTAACAAGTTGAGCGTGGTACCTGCTCGTACCACGCTCAACTTGTTTCTCCAAACAGCAATTTTGTTTGTCAAGGTGTTTAGAGTTAAAAAGTTAAGAGTGGGTCACAATAAAATAAATAATAAGAATTTTAAAAGGTAGGAGAATACCATAAAGAAAAAATTTTTTTTTGAAACTTTTTAGGGCTGTGTTTTTCACTTTTACATTTACAGTAGATTTAAAAAACAAATATTTTATTAATTAGACAAATTATTTACTAAACTTTATTACTTTTGTTCTCAGCAAAACATTTTTCACAAGGTGACTAGGCAATAAGTAACATGTTGATTATTAAAAAGGTAATAAGTTATTTTAAGGACATAAAGTTAATAGGTGTTTTTGACATGTATGGTGAAGATTAATAAAGTTACCACATTTTTATTGTACAGACATAAACTCCATATATTTTAAATTTTTAGGCTAAAACCAAAGGAGTAAGTCAAACAATATCTGGATTAATATTTTCCATTTTTGCTCTGGTAGTGTTTTTTACAGCACCTCTCATTGGAAAGTCTGTAAGTCATTATTTATGTATTAATTTTTTTTTTTCAAAAGTATTAGGGTTAATACTTTTGAAAAAAGTATATAAAAACAATCACTGTATTGTCATTTTTCATCAAAGAATATATAATACACAAGCAAATGTATATCTTTTGAAAAGTATAATCTTAACTGACAAATAAGCTCTCCATCAGGGTTTTCTATATTAACACAGGTATGCTGCAGCTATAGAAACAGGTTGTTAGTTAAGATACGAGTTCTTTAAAGACATTTATTGATGTTAAATTAACTAAGAAAGAATATTCTAGTTGTTTGTCACTATTTGCAAAAAAGTATTCAAAACATTTTTTGACTAGTTGATCCTAATTGTGTTTACGAAGATTGTACTTTACTGTTGGTTTGTGAATCTGAAGGAAATAAAAAGTCACTTCATCAATCTGGCTGGTGTATTTAAGCTGGATTAGGTCAGCTCTTATTCTGCAATCATAAGGTGATCTAGTTTCAGAAAATATATATATATTTTGTTTTTAAATAATATTTTGTTTCTTCATTCGCCATGGCTTTTTGCAATTTTTAAAAATTAGAGTGTTAAAAAATGCACAGAATAAACAATTGTAAACTTAAACTAAAATTAAAAACAAAAATTAAAACAAACCATAAACTGAAAAGAGAAATAAAAAAATAAAAAAACTAAAAAAATAAAAATCTTAAAGATTGATAAAAATATAAAAATTTGACCACAGCTGTTTTGATGTTTTAACATTTTGAATGCAATAAAAAAAGTGTTATGTTATAAATATCTTTAAATCATTGATCTTTTCTAAAGTTTTTATTTTAAGTGAAGGCTTTAAATAAAATCATAAAATTAATTATAGTTATTGTTTACATAAACGCATGTGTAAATTAATAAAAAATTTTTTTTTTTATGTAGACTTGTATTTTTAAAAATAAATTTAAATGTTTGAAATTATTTTTCCATGTCTTTCTAAAACATTTTTGAAGCATTTTTTTGAAGCATTTTTTGAAACATTTATTTTTAGAAAGGATTTTTTTAAGTTACTTTAATTTTCGAATAAGTTAAATAGCTTTTGTGACGACTAGCTTTTACAAGTTTTATGTAAATTATACAAGAATATAAAATAACTTAATTAATTAAAAATGTAACAAAAAGTTTCGCTTCGAGTTTAAGTTTTTATTATTATTTAAGTGCTTATATAATTTCTTTTTCGTTACAAATTTGTTTTTCGTTTCTTTTTTCGTTAAAAATTTTTTTTTCGTTAGTTTTTTAGCATTTCTACATTCAGAGCATTTCTGAAATTTTTAAATCATCAAAATATATAAACAACAGTGGTCAAGTTGTCAAAAAATAAAATCATTTGTGTGGTCAGCAATAGCGCTCGATCGCACACTATTCCTGTCCTCGCCTGTTAGCTGTATACATCATTATCCTCTATAGATCATTATAGCCTCAAATATTTAGCAATTCATTGTATTTCTAAATGTTGCAACTTTACCATCTATTTCAATAGATTCATATTGAGGTAGATTTGTTATTATCACTGACTCATTATGGGTCAGATGTATTATTATAAAATGTTTCTGCATAAAATGCATTATATGTGGTTTTTCATAATTGCCTTGGTTGTTTTTCTGGCAGTAAGCTGGTTTTTTATATATATTGTTGTATGAACATGGCTTTTTTGCCCAGAAATATAGTTGTCTTGATGTTGATCAAGCTGAAGATAGTGTTGATGAAGTTAACTGAAAATTTGTGTTTTGACTTTGGTTCTTGGTGGGAGGAATTGTTTATGATATATCGTTTTATTGTCTGCTGTGTTTTTATTTCAGATTAATAAAGGAGTCTTGTGAAATCTACTTTGCTTTATAGTAGATCTCCTAATGATTAAATTGCTCAACATTTTTCATTCCTATTTGTTTTAATTTATTTTATTTAAATGATTTTTTAGCTCATTTGATATATTTTCTCATTTGATAATAACTTCCTCAGTAATTTTGCTAACAAAAATACAATTATAACTTTATATCTTGAATGCTGAAAAGTTTTGTCCCGCTAAGTTATTGTTTTCTTTTAGTTGTTGTAGTGTAGTCAAATTTTAATGATACTGTTTAAACAATGGTTATTTTTTGCATTAATCACTTTTGTAGGCATGTGTTGCTTTGATGGTGGGAGGGCTACAACCCCTGAATAGCTGTGGGTTACCTCCTGGTTAAAAAAATCAAAAATATTTGTTTGCTTCTTAAACAGACACTTAAATGGTTATTTCTAACATCACATATCATTAATTTAAATGATATCATAAAATAATGGGCTCAATGAATGTCAAATGAATGGATTAAATAAGTCAAATGAATGACCCCTGTAGATTGGTATAATAAATATACACGAACTTCATTATAAGGAATACATTAGAAATGTACATACTTTATTTTTACCTAAAAAAAGCTGTACTGTAAGTAAATATTAATAGAGGCAATGTTTCAAAATACACAGCTGTTTCGAACTGAGCTTTATGGCTTCTTGTTATTTTTTGAAAATATTGACTTTAGGGGTCTTACTAAAACATTTATAACTTTTGAAATATTTGAGGTAATTTTGTTTTGTAAAAAGAATAAAACACCAATAAAATGTTTCATCTTACAACATTTAATGCATTAGTAAAAAAACTTCTTTTAGTTTAGAAAAAACGCGGCAAATGATGAACTTGGCTGAATTTTAGTAAAATGATGTTACTTTTTATCAAAAAAAAAAAAAAAAAAAAAATCTAGTTTAACAGCTAACTCCCCTTTTAACAACATTTTTCTAAATTAGAAAAATGTTGTTAAAAGGGGAGTTAGCTGTTAAATGAGAATGTTTTTAAATCTAGAAGTTTTTACTTTTGAAAATAGTTTTATTGAGCTGATAAATTTATTGCATTACAAAATTTTGATTTGGGAATATCTAGTAAGACTTATATTCCATTCTTTAACCAGAGAGAAGGTATGTAGAGTAGAGGTTCTACAAAGGTAGAACTAACTTCTGATGATACTAATTGAATGGACATCTAATATATAAAAAAAATGTTACATATAACGATTGACAATACATTTTATAAATTAACTACAAAAACATACAAGATCATACCCAACAAACATAGCAGTTGCTCTGATTACAAGTTAAAATAGTAAGCTATATTTTCACATACTTTTGATGCTAGAATTATATTCTATTCTTTAACCTGAGTGAAGGTATTGCATAAGTATAATTAACTTCTAAAAATAGGAATAGAATGGGCACCTACCTAATATATAAAATTAATTTAATAAAAAATAATAAATGTTTTAAACAAACATTGCACAGACATATTAGAACAGAATAAAATTCTCCTATTTATGAATTAAAAATCTTATATAAATTATCTTAGATGTAAAAAGTTTTATTTTTTTGTTTTTAATTTTTTACATATTTAAACTAAATTTGATGACCACAAAAAAGAAAAAGACCTTGTCTATAAAATGAATTTTAGCCATGCTCAGAACACACAACGCACTTTATCATTTTAGAGGCATGAAGCTCCCTAACAGCTTTCCTATGCCATTCAAAACATTTTAGAACAAGACGCAGCTTCTGATTTCTTACTAAATGCAACTGTCTTAATTCCTTATTCACGCTATTATGCAAACACTTTCCCTCCTCTTCACTCAGCAACCCAATAGTTTTATGAAGTTTCACAAATGTGATATTTAAAATGAGTTCATGGATTTTTTGCATGATATTTTCTTTTAGAAAACAAGGATGAAACTCAATAGTATATAAATTTACATATTGGTTAAGCTCAGTAATTTCGGCATCAGAATAAAATTTTTGTTTCAAAAGGTTGCAACTTAAATTATTAAGAGAATTGAATATGAAACTTTTGCTTAAAAAGAATAGCTTGCAACTTAAAATCACTAAACACACATAGAAATCTATTTTTAATTGCATTATGATTAATAGTACTGCAAAGTTGATAGCGGTTTCTTAATACTATTTTGCAATGATTACCTACAAATACATTACCTTGGTAAGCTTGTCGCTTAACTTTCATTTTTTTAAGGGCCTTATTAAGAGACCTCTCATGAGTCCCATGCTACTTATGAATATTTTTTGACGTCTAAAACATCATGTTGTTAGTGTATAAAATAATTTTTTTCAGAAATATAAAGGTCAAGACATTCTATATCTTCACGCCTGACATGCTAAACATTCATGCTTCTGTCACAGATTAATACATACAATAATACGCTCTTTTCAGAATCACCAATAATTTCATAAAATTGATGAAACCATATTTGACACATACCACACTGTACCCAATCAATGTTACAATCATAATTTGTAATTAAACACTTGATACTACATTTCTTGCTGTTTAAAGGTTTTTTTTTATTGGAGGAGTTAAGGGATATGCACTCTAATTCAGAAATATTTTTATTAAATGCTAACTAATCCGCCTGTAGATTTGCAATGCCTACAAATTGATTTCTTAATAAACACAAAACTTCTGCTGTTTTAGAACATTCAACGCTTTTAGCAGCCCACAATTCATTCATTCTCACTTTTTCATTATGCAACAAAAAGAATCAGCTTAACAATCTAAAGTCTTACACTCCTTTAACAATAACGTATAAAGTTTTAACACAACTCCTAACATAATATACAAAACAGGTGGCAGTACATTATCTAAAGTTATTATGGGAAAATTTACAGGAGCAATAATTGAATTATATAACTTACCTAGAGCTCTTAAGTTTCCACCTTGTCTATTTTTAAACAAGTTTTCATTGTAAGTACTTTCCAGAGATTGTATTGTCTTCCTTAATGTTACAATCAGCAGGTGTTCAAGGCATAGAAGCATGGTTTCTTAGAGAAGTCTACTCAACTAGGTCTGTAGAACTAGGAAAGCTAACAGCTGAACTCTGGTGTCCCAGAACATCATTGAAATGAAATAAAATCTCCATATAAGAATAACATGAC